ATGGTTCTTAGTTAAGAGTGTTCAAAGGTCGAGTGTTGCTTGCTGGTTTCATTGTCGCAAAATATATTTAGAACCCTTTGTTTCTCTTCTCTTGAACATTTCACAACAACATGCAAAATTTCAGACTTTTTATTTACATTTAATTTAATTGCCTTCTCATCAGTCCAGAAGCTTCATGCCGAGTCGTAGTCGACAAAATCTTTATTCCATCTTGTTCGTGAACCAGGTAGCAGAATAAGTTGCTTGTTTAGGTGCGACTCACTGTTAATAAAGTCATTGCATATCCGACGATATTTCTTGACGTTTTGAAGCAGTCACTAGGCGAATCGAATCGCCACTCCTCTGCTCGTTACGTTTAAGCCATTTTCTCTTATTACATATTTAGCAGTGGATAAACTCTTCCGCTAAATTTTATATAATAAACTAAGTGGTGAATTTAAAATAGCTATTAGTTTTTCATACAGCAAAGTCGCTAGAGAGTTATAGAGCAAACTTTAGTGTTGAGTTATCTAGTCTCTCTTTTCGGCAGTTATGGGATCATACTATTTTCAACCATTCATCTCTATTGTTAAGTCTCTAAAGATTTTAAAGAAAAATTTCAACTATATAAGGAATATATGAACAACCTATTTATACAAGCAATGAAAATAAATTCTATGACCGTCGGTGTTGACATAATAACAGAGCAAATAACAACAGTGGTGTAGTAGGTGGCGATTATATTTAATTAAAACAAAACAGGCGGAAGCCAGAAAGCGAAGAGAAATAATTTTTATAAAACGCTAAAATGAAGTTATTTATAAATAACGACAATTTCGATATTTTTTTGCTAGTCATTATTATAATTTTTGTTAAATATTTACATATATAATGTAAGTAAGTATTTGGATACGAAGTAGACCGCGTATTTGTTTACTACGCACATGGTATTTTTGATACTCGTAGTATATGTACGTATATAGCAGCCAAACACACATTCGTTTTCAGCTGCTTGTGTCTACATAATAATTAAAATAAGTACAAACGCACGAGCTACTAATTTGTATGAAGTATTTAAAGCTCATCTCGTACAAGTTTTTTACTAGTTTTTATGCACACACTCTGTGTTTACCTATTCATATATATTCGTTATTTGTTTTTCGTAATTAACTTTGAGTGTTGGTCCGTCGATTGGCTGCAATTGCAGCCGCAGTTTTGTGGCAGCCAACTCCGTTAAAAAGCCATGGTAATAAAAAGCCGTGTTGAAACATTTATGAAGACATGCTTGTGTGTGTGTATGAGTTCACGCAAGTGCAGTGTTGAGCAAATATTTACAGTAAAGAAAATAATTTTTTAAATTTTTTTTTGGAAACAATAGAAAGAAAGTACTTTTGGTTCCTTTACAAGATGGGTCTGAGGCATTTTTGTTTCCGTTATTTGTATGTCCGTTATTTCCCCTGGTTAAGAAGAAAATCTTTTATTGTTTCGTTAAAGTCAACATCTCTAGAAAAATGTCTTAAATTTTCAAGTTGATCCGAGTAATAGTTTCGGAGATACAGCCTTGAGAACTTGTACGCTCGAGGCTAGCCGTGCTAAGTGCGCCGTCTTTAGGCATGTTTTTCTCGAAACTGTGTTTTTGAAGTCGGTTGGCGAAATTTCTCGAGAACTACTCAACCGATCTTGATGAAATTTTACACAGGTCTTTGAGATACAGTTCTTAAGGACTTCGATTACAACTATTTGAAAAAAAAAATTTCGCGAAAGATTAATTTTTTTGTGAAAATGCCTCCCGAAAATTCAATTTTCAGTTTTTTTCCCCTTTATCCAAGTCCTAGGTTAAGGTTTTAATTAGAACACGCATTTCTACACTTTAAATGATCTTGTAAGGAATTATTAAACCAACGCGGAGACATATTTTTTCCGAAGATTCACCGAATATGGCGTCGTAATGGCCGAGTAAAATATTTTTTTCCAAAAAAATTCAGTATTTTTGTTTTTTTTGTTAATAGTGTAAATGTGTGTAACAATATGAAATTCTAATGAAATATTTAATTTTTTATCGGAGAAAAAATGTTGGATTTTTCGAAATCATGTAAAACTCGAGCTTTCCGAACATAATGGTTGGTGATCAACTAAATTTTATTCGATAAAATGAAGCCCCCTCCTGTTTGCAATGGAATGAGAAGATGTCGTACTCTGAGGTTTTCGAAACAACTTTTTGAACTTTGATGTTGGAAGGAAAGTATACTTGAGCCTGGCCGCTTTTAGAAGTTTCTGTATCTCAACGAATTCCTTGGGGTAATGAGTCAGCAGAATTTAAGTACAAACTGAATAACTATAAATTTAGAGCACCTTTTGAGAAATATTATTTAATTCACGATCATTTCTGTGATTTACTGTACTCACCCGTATATATGTATATACGCATAACCGATTGGAACTGCACATGTATTTGCACGGCTGAAGTTTAATAATAGATATACCTTCAACTATTGCAAATATCTGCTTACCTGCGCACAGAAGCGATGCTTTAAAGAGCTTTTTTCTTAGTCGCGTTAATTTGCAAATGGCGAATGAACAAATTTAATTAACTTATGTTATTGTATTAATGAATTGCCCGTGGTTTGTGGCTGTGTTGTTGCTGACTTTGGTTTTGCCTCAACCGTTTTTCTACATCAACACTATGAAGTTGCGAGACACTCACACACGCACACACTCACTCAAGAATATAAATCTGCCATTCCTCGCTATTGCACACATGCTGTCGCGCACTCACATAAATTACTCCATTATTTCGTAACGGAGTAATGAAAAACCGTAAATACTGTGTGTATGTATGTGTATTCAATTGTAAATATTTGGTGTTTTAATGCTCAATTATTTTAATGTTTTTATAAAAAAGTGTAATAATTATAGCAAATGCAGTTATTACGAAGGTAAAAACTTAATACCGTTCATATGAGTGCGTGTGTTTGCCTGTGCATATTGCGGTCACTGCCGCCGGTGCAGTAATGTTCCGTAGTTTTACTGCTCAGGTTGGCTAATCGGTCTGGTCGACTAACCTCGGCTGCAAGGAACCATAATCTCAGTCTGGCCTTATAGCTCGAATAAAATAAAATTTGTAAATAGTGGCACAAAATATAATTTGGCAGCTGATGAAGTTCATAAATGCTTTTTTATAAGCTAGTTTTCGTATTTGCAGACGGGGTACTATTTCGCTATTTTAGAAGGCTCTGAAAAAGTAATCGTATTAGACTAGTAAAAAGAAATCCATTATTTTTGCAGATAATAATATTTGTATAAAACCATAATTTTACCAAAGTTAAAATTATCCGATTTACATGAAATATAAATCGTTTTGTTCAATAACTTGTTGGAATTTTGAAGATAATATCATAAAGCCACTGTCCTAGAAATCTTTATCATTTCGGGCACAAAACTAGAGCAATACTGAGGGGAATATCCACTAGAAGAACTATACTATAGGGTAGTAATCACTTTATGCCAAGTTCAAACTACAAGTTGGATGCATAGGATTATTCCAATCGCTTCTGGCGAGTCACTATCGATGTGTGGGACATAGTGTTGTTCTGATGGAACACAATTCATCTCCTTTTGCACACTTCTGGGCTATTGCTTATTTCAGACTGTCCAATTGTTGACTGTAGGAGAGCAGTTTGGATAAGAACCAGCTGATTCTCTGCCAATCGCACCAAACAAGTAGCACAACTTTTCGAACAATTAATCCTAACTTAGCTACCGATGGCGCCGACTCGCCAATTATTTTATAACTGTTTTTGCTCGGTGTTGTGATCTATCATCGCCAGCAGCCATCTGCTTTTGACTTTGTCGCGATTCCGTCACGATTTCCGGAAAGAATTTCGAACCGTGAGTTTTGTGGCGTTAACTACTGTGATGGTTTTTTGCGACATTTAGCTTCTAGCTAATCGAAACAGTGCTTATATGGTGGTCGGACTCAATGATTTCCATCGATATTGCAACCTTTTGTCTTCCAGAGCATAGTTAATCTTTCATATCAACATTTTTGGAAGGGAATCGGCGAAAAATTGTGTATGTTTAACTCATAGAGTAACGACACCATAAACGCTATTTACATTTTCAGTCACTCAGTTTGTATTCTCGTCTTTTAAAAAACTGTCAAATATGGACTACTTAACACTAAACTGTCTGTTTGCTTACGAAATCTTATCTTTCTAACGCATCATCGCGTGACACAGATTACTAAAGCTATCTATTGAAAAATAATATTAAAATGGGCTTCAAGCGCAGTCTTCACTGAGGATGACTGTTTGTAATGGATCTCGTAACTGAACTCGATTTGGTATTACAAAGCAATAAAACTGGTCACGTGGCACCAGAATAACCTAACCTATTGAAAAATAAGAGTCTTTACTAGAGATAATATCTAGGCTAAAGTTTCCTTCTTGGCATCCGATATATTCACATTTCAAGTATTTATTTGTATATATACCTTAATAGAAATATTTTAGTACCAGAAATAATGCGAGGCTGATGGAGTCGGACGAAAGCGATTTTCGTATTCGTATTCGTATTCGAATGTTAAATTATGTCATTATTAAGCAGTTGTGCGTTACTTCACCAAGTGTTTACTATTGCTGAGTATTTTAGAGTTAAGCAGCATACTAAGTACGCCTTTATCTATGTAAGGAAACCGATATTTTGTACACTTATAGACCTCTGGCTTTAAAAATCCTTTTTACGCTGTTTTTATGAGCATAAGTCCATAGTAAGCTGTATGAAATATGCCGTTATATAATAATATTATATTCTTCTGAGAAGTGATCGTATATATTTTCATTAGCCCGGTAAAAAATATACTGAAACTTTTTCACCCCTCAGTTTTGGAGCCAATTAAGCGAGAAAAATATATAAACGGCTTAAATGCTGGCTTTCCTTTACTACACCACTACCATAGTAATAATTAAGTTAACTTAAATAATTGGTTTTTGTTTTTCATTAAACGTAAATTGCTGACTCACCTGCGGCGTGGCGGCTGCCAAGTGTAGCACATATGCCAGAGATAGGAATTTCAGCAACATTTCGGTGCGCTATGCGTGATTGTGAGTGTGTGCTGTGTGTTTGTTGCTGGGACGAGTGTGTGAGCGCGGATTGAATTAATTTGTTGGCTTCGCTGCCGGCAAATACAAAAGACAAATACAGGAATTCCTTTGCGCAATTGAATTATATTTATTTAAATTCAATGGTTTCCCTTAATCGCGCTCACAACAATTGAATAACTGATTTTGCATTCAGTGCGCGGCGTACACGTCGGTTCTCGATTCTCCGCGCTGGCGGCTGTCTCCTGCGGATACACAAAGTGGGTTTGTATGCGCGCGCCTTTGGAAAAAATAATGCTGAAATAAAATTTATGGATTTTTCTCGTTACTTTTTGCACCACAGCCGATTCAAATTAAACACTTGTAATGAGCATTCGATTATATAATATTTTTTCCGCAAACAATGCTTGCAATCGTACGTTTTGTATTCGCTCGAATCACTTTTCAAGTTTCAAGTCCGTTGCCCGTGGCCGCTGGTGTTGCACTGATTTAAAGCCGCGGCTGTGCTGGTGTAAACCTTCCTGGCGTTTCGCCAACAACAACAACATGCGCACGGCGCTGCTGGTCGCGCTTCAAGTGGTACCGGCGCGGCAGCTTGAAGCTTCTACTGCTCACAGCTTAGAGCTTTGAGTAATTAACATGTTCTTGTTTTTTTACAATGTTTTATTGTGTTATTATTATTGCCTTTAGCTTTACAGTGGCTACTGTGGTTGTAGAACGCGTTTTATTTGCTCGTGCTTTGTAGGTTTTCGCTTGCCACTTGGCCGGTTTGCCATAAAAACACAGTAAATTTGCCAACTTTTCCACTGCCCGCCAGAAGCGTGTACGTGTGTGCGTATGTGTGCCTATTGCTTTGCATGTACTTCAGATGTAAGCCGGCTATCTTGACTCATATGAGCGCMTCGGCGCTTCGGCTCTCCGCTGGGATCTCATGTTCGCACTTTGATTGGCCGATCCGGTTCTGGTTCAGTTGGAATTAAGCGCATTGTTTTGAATTTAAATTTGCAAAACGAGAAATTACGTTATTGTTCAAGGTGCAATTTTTTCCGCAATCTTTCAAATTGAAAAGACACAATAAAATARGTTTAATTGAAGAAAAGAACTCAAGCAAAATAGATTTGATATTTCTTTAATTAAGTACTTATAAATATTGGTATTCGGGATTAATGTAAGCAGTTATATGGAAAGTTTAAAACATAAATCCATACAATATGTTGTCTAAGACATGCTTTCAAATAAACATAAAACTACTGCAATGAGATATTTTATTGAATAAATTGTTTATCAATTCAAGTAGAAATTGTGGGTGACTAACGGTAATTATACTCGCTTTTCAAGTTTCGGTTCTTTCATTATTGAAAGATTATTTATAATCTCCGAATTCATGTCTGAGTTCATTCAATTTTACACTTCGAAGCTGAACTTTCCAGCATTAGTTCACTGACATTATTGCCTCTCGCTGAACTTCTGAGCTTTCCTATCTTCCAAAGTGCCAATAAACCACAAATGACTTCATAACAAATATACGAGTTTTCTTATCAATTTTTTTCATTCCAGGAAGCGAATAAGTCGAAAGTTATATGTCGCATACTAGGACCCTTTAGGCTTAATAAATCGAATGGCATGTAGATAAATAAAATTCGAATAGCTGACATAACATATGCCTTATTAACTGTTATTGTTCCTGGAGGCGAATAAGTTGAAAGATGTATGATACGCTCTAGAACCTTTACGGTTCAATATTCATAATGATATGCATTTAAAAGTCAATAATAGCATTTATATTATCAATTATCAGAAGCGAACGCTGCACGTTATATACAAGCACTTTTTTGACTAACGGTTGTCAAAATAAGAGAAAACAAATTTAATTTACAATAATAGTTTCACTGAAAAAGAATTTCACAACAAAAAGAGTAATTTATGAAATTTGAGTGAGAAAATTTGCAAACTTTTTGCTTTTCAAATGACGGCAATGAAGGCTTTAGGTGGGAATAAATTATGACAAAGCACTGGATCTTGATTATAAAAGTGATAAATTTTTTAATAAATCCTCTCTGAGCATCCTTAGTTTAACGGACGATCCATAATACCATATGATCAAATTTGACCCGTACTGGTTGGTGCAACCTTTATTTATTTTGGTGTGAAGTTTGACATATATATGTCAATTAATGTGTGTTTCGCAGCTGTTTGTTTATGACGCGAAAAGTTTGGCTGGCGATTTTTATCATGGAAAAAAGGAAACAATAAGTTTACAACTTTAGGAGTGTGTTTCCAATGTAATCACGGCTACTTTATCATGAATACAAGTATTTGAGTGACACAAAGCATTCGGCTAACGTCATGAAGTCATCGAAAATTTGCCTCATGCGAATGGTCCAACTCTGTTGACAAGAACTTCGAAAAAGTTAAAGAAATAGTATTCAAAATTCGCCTTGTGGGTATCAGAGCGCTAGTAGAGTCAATACCACACTTGTATCAAAATACCTGAATTTTGAAAGAAACTATGTCGAATAAAGATCGCAAAAAAGATACTTGACAACTACTTGCTATACTTTCATAAAACGCATCATTATTGCTGACGAGATATGGACTTACCGATCTAAACGGAGCTAGATCTGCGGAATTAGAGCCCTTGGCCGAATAAAATCCGCGTCAATTATGGTGCGGCTGTTGTGGCCAAACCACCACCCATTGCAGACGATTCTCGCATTGGCACGAGAAACGAAAGTAATCCTGGCGCAGCTTCGCTCTGGCTTGATTTCTATTTATCCAGAATAGATCCAGCGGGCAATGAGCCATCGGATGACACTAGTCCTGCTAAACCTACTCATCTGACACCTTTCTCCCCACGGTCCGACCCCGTCGAAACATTACGTTTCCTGGGCCTACCGTAGGATGACGTCGACGACAACTTAACTAATCCCTACCATCCTAACGGAGATTAGGTACCCATTACAATAACAACAACAACGATAAAAATGTAGATTTATGACGTCAACACTGTGCAACGATCCAGCGAATCGTTCTCTAAAAACACCAAATATATAATATATTATAGCAAGGGTATGGAAAATTGGAGGTTATTGGGCGATAATAAATATTTATTATAAGTGAAAATGCTTTTTTTTGTCAAATCGGGTCACACTATTCTATTTTTTTTTTAAGCAAAATTGCTGAGTAATATGGATTTAAAAACCTGGTATGGTCAATATAAAATAAACATAAACAAATTAGCAGATCACACAGTCTGATTATAGTGTGTTTGCCAACATTCAAACCTATCCAAAAGAAAGCCTCTTTTAGCCTACGATTTAGAGCGTAAATTTATTCTAATATATTCCAAACTGGTTACAAGCACACACACACATGCTTATTCCATAGAAGAATTTCATGCTTCTGTCTATCTCTATCACCAAGTCTATAGATTTCTATTTTTTGGCACTTCTAACCCTGTCTCTTATACACATCTAGATGTGTATAAGAGACAGCACACACACATGCTTATTCCATAGAAGAATTTCATGCTTCTGTCTATCTCTATCACCAAGTCTATAGATTTCTATTTTTTGGCACTTCTAACCTGAGGCGAATGGTTTGCCGAAAAATTAATTAAACACAAGCTAATTTCGTATTCAACAGTCGCATGCATCGTTGGTAGCAGCAGCGACTAATGCGATGATATTTACAAAAACAAATGCGCGCTGAAAATTTAAATTACAAAGTTTTAAATACTTGCGAATTATTTAGCAGTGCAGGTGTGTGTGTGTGTGTGCATGTACATGCAATTACTATAATGTAATTAAAATTAATAATATCTCCTCTAAAAGCACTTCCAAACATCAAATTAATTTTTATGAGCAAATTGTCTGCAGTAAGCTCAAGAGTTGGACATGGGCATCTGGTATTTCTATTACCATCATCAGGTTACATCAGAAGCTAGCAGATAATGTGTTTGCTGGTCCTCCAATGGCTCGCCCTTCACACACACACACACCCACCATTGCACGTGTTTATGTCTCTCCATATCTACCTAAGCGCTGTTCACACGGCTGAATGCGCAATCTGTTGGCTGCACTTGGCAGTTGAGCTGCGTAGAAGCAGCTCTCTAATCAAATCTACGCGCTTTTATTAATAATTTTTAATTAATTTCCGACAACTGCACGTCATACGCTGCACTGATAAGCGTGGCTGCTCTTGTTGTTACTGTTGCTGTTGCCGTTTTTCGCTTTTTGCGAAATAGACGCGAAGGAAGTTCAGTGAAGTTAATTCGATTTGTTGTTTTCAGCTGCCATGATCGGAGGTCGTTTACTTTCCGACCAAGCGTGTAGCTAGAAAGGCAGCCAGTGAACATACTATCATGCTATATTTGAATGTGTATGTGTGAATATGCTTCAGTAAGCTTGAAATGGTTTTTAATCAACGCATTAAGCATTATTCTCTAAAAGATGTGCTAAAGACAAGCATTTGTATATGCACAAATCCATGCATATTCCTATGGACACTCCGAAACGTTTTATTAAATATACCGTGTCTGTGATTTTTATGCGTTTCAAAGCGTTCTTCCCTGAAAGTGATTGCAAATAATTAATTGCGGCCTGAAAGTATGCTTTCGAGCGCATTATGAGTCCGTGAAATAGTCGCGTTGCTAAAGCTTGAGTTGCCACTTTCCGGTATTTATTATAATTATATTTTATTACATAAACGCAGGCGCTAAGTATCTCTCAGTAAAATTGAGTTATTAAATACGCCGCAATCAGTATCTTTTGTCTGTCGGAGCAGTGGTTAATGACGAAAAAATTATAACATATTCTGTGTGGTTCTGAACGAAGTATCTTTTGTGCTTATCTATGGTTTTGTCTTTATGGACTATAGCTAAGTGTGGGTATAGTTTGGTTGAATCTATTTTCAGTATTCACTGGTCAACAGGATCTAAAGTGTGTACAAATGCTTTACAGTGTAAATTGAACTTACTTTTTCGGGAAAATCCAGCTGCCGAAGAGAGCTTAATGCTATGTCCAAGCCAAAGTGAACACAAGCTCGAGTTTATGGCTTTAATCGAATTATTAAGTTATGTGTTTTAAATTTGTTATCGATTCTTATATCCTGGAAAAGGGATATCAAGTTTGCAACGATGTTTTTAACACCCAAAAGGAAACGTCGGGGGTCCTATAATGTACATATATATATATGCATGAATCTTCAGTGTAACGCGCTGATTCCGTTTGTATACACGCAAATCACTCTCTGACTTTTTAAAATATTGGCTTGAAATTTGACACACATATAAACAGAACGGAATGACGTTCTCATTTTTTCCACTTGACCACGTAATTTCGAGAAATTTGGCAATGATTATCATTTAAGGTGTCGCTATAATCTCCCCAGAAATTGTTTCGATCAGACAACTATAGCGTATAGCTCCCAAGCAAACTGAAAGATCAAAATAAGAATAAAGAATAAGAAGCTAGAAATATGCAAGTGTGAGAGGCATATTATAAGGGGTTACATAGGTTTACGGATTTCAAAAAATCGATTTCTTCTTATTTTTTTATTAAACTCTACAATCCCACTAGACCTAAATACCTAAATTTCAACATGACCCGAGTAATAGTTTCGAAGATACAATCTTGAGAACTTGTGCGCTCGAGGAAGCTGGGTTTTTGAAGCTCCCGAGAACTACCAATATTCATGAATTTTACACAGGTGTTTGAGGTAAAATTATTAAAGACTTGGACGAAAGATTTTTTTTCGAATCGATTTTTACTGGAATTTTCATTTTTTTTTGTAAAAATGCAAAATTAAAAATCCAATTTTCAGTTTTTTTAAGGTTTTACCTAATCTTTTTTCCAAGGGGTATCGCAATGGCTGAGTTTAAAATATATTTTTTTCAAAGATTTCAGAATTTCTTTATTAATAGTGTAAGTTTGCAACAATAAAAAATTCTATATTGAGAGAAAAATTATGGAAGAAGGCTTTCTACTAATCGAGAAAACCCGTGTAACCCCATTATATTTGTTTGATGCGGCTTTGGTGGAAAAACTACCGTTGAGAAACATTTCTCACAAAATTATCGGGAATTCATGCAAATATTTACAGTGAATCATAATTGTAATATTCGAAACTTACTCAGGAATGTAGGGATATGGTATAACTTTTTTTTGGGGTACAATACGGTCAAATTTTTTTCTATTTTCTTAGTGTGTCACGTCGTGCCTTGAATAAGCATCCTCGAAATGGACTATTAAAAAAACTATTATTTAGATAGGGGTTGTACATTTCTGAGGAGGTGGTCTGACCATTATAGAGAAACTGGAAACTTAGATGGCAAGCCATGAGTGTGAGGACTCACGTGACATCTAAAAGTGAGGGCAAAGCTGTTGTTCTACTTTATGGGAAGAAAATTTTGCTCAATCTAAACCATGCTGCAGAATTTGGTTTATAAAGGGATTATATATATTTCTAAATAGACTTCAAAGATTTGGTGTCAAACGCAGCAGTACTTTAATCAAACTCTTACTTTTGAAAATGACACTACCAAGTAAATAGACTTAATAATAGACCTTAGCGCCGTGGGTATCTGGCTTTGCCGTTGCTTTGGCAGGTCTAACATATGAATTTTTGTTAATAATGATCGTCTTTTTTATCACCAGCCACAATCTGACGTTTAAGCTGCATTTCCGACCTACAAAATCGTCCTTCAACGTCTCATGAAAATATCCGATAGATTTTAAACATTTTGAAATGACTGCATCAGTGACTTAAAGAGATTCTGCGAGTTTTTCTTGTGTTGAGGCACAATTCTCATCGATTAATGCTTTCAACTCCTAATGTTCAAACGCGAACTGTTGAAATATTTGAATCCCACGATGTGTCCACTCTACCAAAACAATTGCTTTTTGTATTCATTTAGTATATTTATTTTATTTTCATTTATTTTCGTACAGAATTTACATAATATTTTATTTCGACATTAAAAATTATTGCTTACAACTAGTATTAACATTGCTTAGCTTAAAGTAAACTTAAAGTGTCACTAAAGTAATATCACATCAACAATTAGAACAAAAGATTGCCAAAGAGCACTTCGACTTGGGAGAAATAAACGTAAAAGTAAACACTGAGAATTGCTTTACAAAGCGCCAACAATGACAGAGTCAACGCTTGAGCGCCTCTGCGTTTAAAAATTAACTCGAATGACAAATACAACAATTAAAAGAAATGTGCGAAAGGCTGCTAAAAAAACAAATGGCTAATAGAAAGTGAAAGTGCAATTGAGCCGAGTGAATGTACAGCAATTTGCAAAATAAATGCGAAAGAAGGAAAAATTAATGGCTGATGAGCCAGCGGTGGGCGCACCGTTACACTTGACTTAATTTCCTACTTTTAAAGACGCTACACGATAACAGCAACAACGTGCGAAGAAAAAACTGCCAACTAATTGCAAACTTTAGAACAAGTTTATGCAAATGTGTGCACACCGAAACGAGAAGGAACCGCCGCAAAGAGCAGCTACAGCACAAACAAACACTTGGCGTAACACCCAACTCATACATAAGCAAAAGCACGAGCAAACAAATGAGCGAACATTGAAGTGAATGAATGAATGCGATGGCGGTGCGGAGTCGGCGGCGGACGGAAGGAAGTGCAAATGAACTAGTTAAGGCAAAGTGTCGCTCTCAAGTTCGTGGATGGGAGGGGGAGGAGCACGTGTGCTGCTTGGAAGAACGCGCTTATCGGCAGGCGTGAAATTGACGTGCGTTGTGTCACTGTCTCCGTTACATGGCGGCAGTCATTGTGCTCCTTCCCCCCATTTCCTCTTCGCTTGGGAAAGTGGTTGAGCGCAGCCGAGAGCGCTTCGATTTACGCGTTCAGCTCACGCAGCAACGACCTTTGCTGCCTTATGGTAAGATTGCTTCCCATATTGTTTCTGTTAGCATTGTCAGTGTCGTCTGGCTGTGATTGTGGCGCCGCGGGAGAGTCGAAGTCTGTTGGTGCCGTTTTCGCCGTCCTTGCGCGTTCGACGCCACCGCCGGCTGGCAGCGAGCGTAGGGCCTGCAGCTCGTCCGGGTTCGCGTTGTCATTCGCGGACTTGAGCACGCCTGCGGTCATTGATGGCACCTGGTGTTGATAGCTGCCGGTTAAACGCCCCACCAGATTGTTGACAGCGCGCAGAGTGGATATCGGAATCTGCAAGCAAAAAAACAATAACAAAAGCTGTTAAGTGATTTGCGGTGGCAGAGTGACTCGTGTACTAATCTCGTTGTTGTTTTTTTTTTCAACTACTTTATGTCTATCATTTCGTAGCAAATTTACCGAAATTTTGTGTGCACGTTATACTTAATTGGGAACTGGCGGCGGTTTATTGAATTTCCGCTTCAGTGGGGGGACTTACCTCGAAGATACTGTCAATTAGCGGACGAAAGCTGAAGGGAAAGCCTAATGCGGCGGGCTCCGAGTTTGGTTGATTGTTGGGATTGTTGTTGTTATTATAGTTGTTATTGTTGCCGTATCTGTTGTTGTAGTTGCCATTTGGATATATGTTGTTGTATTGCGACATCTGCTGGTCGTAGAGGCCGTACTCCTCGCCGGGGTAAAAGATCATATTCGCCACTGGCATCGGTCGAAGGGAAGTCTGTAAGGAGAGCGCATGCGAAAGGAGAAAATGAAATGAAATCAATTAAATAGCGAAAGCATAATTTGCACCTAACGGTAATAATTTCTAATGTAATTATTGTAATATTTTCGAAAAATATTGTAGTCGAAAAAGTCTTTTCGTATTTCAAACTACAACTTTTTTTATATTTATAATGAACTTTAATGAACCAAATATGTGCCATTTTTTGACCACTTTTAGCTATTTTTCCGCTGGAGACATTATTTCATCGATCAGCCAACTCTATTCCATCAAGGGAGTTCTGCATTGACCGAAACAAATGGTAGTTCAAGTCCAGCCAAGCTCTCCCAGTTTTTGCCGAGCCAATAAAGATGTGTGAGATCTAGCGTTTTCCTGACGGAAGACGAAGCCCTTTCTGTTGGTCAGTTCTGACCGTTTTTTTCGTTTTCTTCCTTAAATCTTGTTAGTTGTCGACAGTAAAAGGTAGAATCAATCCCTCGACCAGGTAGGAGCAGCTCACAGTGGATGATTTCTTTCCGATCCCAAATGCGTAACCTTTCAATTCGTCAATCCCGGCTTTGCGACCATCGGTTGAGCTTCACCACACTTGGGCCATGATCTTTTTCAAACATTATTGTCGTATTTGATTCACTTTTCGTCTTCTGAAGCTGTTCGATTTCATTTTGTTTTGAGCAAAGAATCGCAGATGTTAATTCAGACCATTAAATTTTTCACAGACAATTTATGTGCTTTTTTGTAGTCAACCTTCTTTAAATGCTTCAACACCGTTGATGATAAATGTTATGTTCCTAAGCGATGTCTGCTTATGTGACGGACCTGATCAAACTTTTCCATAATTTCATCGACTTTTTCAACGATAGGCCGACCAGAACGAGGTGACCGCTCGTGATTTCAACTCGGTTTCGAACTTCACCCAACGATGACTGAAAACGTTCTGAAGCACTCGAACGCTGCGTTGCCGATTTTCGCATCGTTTCTTCCCCTTTTTTTTTTTTACAAAAATTTCAAAATATAGCGAATTTCTTCATTACTTTCACTCATTTTTGAACAGCTGTTACTTTTCTTAAAACTTCCAGAATGAAGCTGAGATTTTAAGCTTTCCAGCACTATGTAGTATGACACAATTTGATATGTGGTAGTGGAGATATACGACTACAATGGCGTCTATTGACAAAATGCGAAATACTTTTTCGACTTTCGACTACCCAATATTTATATTTATTACGAATAAAAATTCTATTTCACTACTTCACTACGCTGTTGCTTGCCCTAAATTACTCATCACGGTATATTAACTTACCGATGTTATACTGAGTTTGTCATAGAATTCAATAAAAAGCGCCAAATGTTCAACCTAAAGCAAGTTATAATTTACTACTGTTTTTTTTTTAGCTAAAATTACTGTTCACACCCTTTTAATGTTGATGTCTCCCCTAAAAATGTTGCTAAATTAATTAGCAATAAACTTTGACGGGCAATAATTGAAAACCCGTCAGGAAAATATATTTACTGCGGAATTAAAAAAACCTTTTACGACTTCACCCACCTCTTTGCAATTACTTAGTAGCAAGAAAAAAAAAAAAAACTAAAGGCAATTGCTTAAAACGCTTAGGATTGCACTCAACTCAAGTGGGCACTTACATCATTGAGTAGAACCACATCGTGGCGGTTGCCGCGCGCATAGCCGGTGACGCGTGTGAACTCGGTCACCAAGTGCGACATGACAACGAGCAGAACGAACCACACGAAACGATCCATTGCTGTGATGATGATCTGCAAGTACAAGAGCATAAAATTTAGGCATTACAAATTTGATAATCATAGAAGAGCTTGCGAAAATATAACTGGTTCTGGAAACTGGTATTAGACCTACTTACTATATTTAACTATTAAGATTTCTTTTTGCAATTTTTTCTTACTACGTTTAGTAAGCATTCAAAGTGAAGCAAGTTTTTTTGGAAATGGAGTACGGAAATATAAATGAAGGGCTCTTTTGAACTCCTGAAATGAAAATTTATGATAATTTTTTATGTTAGCATACATTTGGGGTTGCTATGCTTGACCTTCGCCATTATTTATGTGAAGACAGAAACGAAAGATTTACGAAAATATTGGGTAGTCGAAAAGCCTTTTCGTATTTTGTCCATAGATGTCGTTGTAGTCGTATATCTCCAGTGCTACCAATCACATTATGTGAGATTTTAAGCTTCATAGAACCAAAAAAAATAATTCAAATTCAGTTCATAATTAAAGTTGAAAAATATTGTTCAAAAATGGTGAAAATAATGAAGAAATTCGCTATATTTTGAAATTTTTGTATAAAAAAGGGAAGAATGTCCGCAAACCACCAATAAAATTTGTGAAGTTTACGGAGACGATGGTGTACCAGCTCGTGCAGAACAACTATGGTTCGCTCGCTACCGTTCTGGAAATTTCGTAGTTGCAATTTGATTAGAAATACGAAAAGACTTCTTCGACTATTGCGAGTGAAGATTTTTGATTTAGTAAGGAACTTAATAATAGCTATTATATGGTATATTATAGAATTTACTTAAGAGCCACGCACATCATTATTAAAAGTCATGTTTGTAAAAGTTGGTCTTATAGCTTTAACAAAATATTTTCACACTCGAAATTCAACGGTCTGCGCACAAATACAGAAACATATAATTTATGCTTAAATTGAATGTGATTGCCAAGGAGGCCGAGTTTAACGCAACGAGAAGAACGCTTTGAACTCGCTTGCGGCACGTTAACGAGTTGCACAATCGCCGTGTATATTTCCAGCGCTGCCTTGTGGCATGGACCGGTGTGCCAAGTTCAAACAGCGCTCTAAGCGACTTATTACCGCTCGTGATTTCAACTCGGTTTCGAACTTCACCCAACGATGACTGAAAACGTTCTGAAGCACTCGAACGCTGCGTTGCCGATTTGTGTAAATAAAATTGCTAAATTGATATTTGAAAAGCGCCAAACGAGCTCAGTGCAGCGATCGGCCTGCTGTTACCTTCAAAGTGATGCTTCATCGTTTTTGTTGTTGGTAATTTTAGTGGGTCTTTGTGGGTTTGGTTTATCGTTTTTTTTCAAAATTCGAAATCTTGTTTTAATACTTTTTTTGATTAATTTTTGCTAATCTCCTGCTATTTGTCTAGAATAGAATGCTTGAGTATCATTGAGTCAATTGCTTTTTAAATATTTTGCACAACGAATTCAATAAAAGTAATAACCAAAAATAATGAAACAACAACAATCGTTAGCATTGCAGCGCAATGACTTTGGTCGGTGTTCGCGCACTTGGGGATCAGCACAAAAAAAACCATAATTAGAGTCGCGAAACAAAACACTTAAGACAAAAACGCGACGAATGCGCATGCGCGACGGACGCTGAGGGCGTACAAGCACCACTTACAGCTGTTTGCCGCTGATCGAGTGCTGCACTTTCGGTGCCGCTGTCAATCGCCGGCATATTGTATTTGGCTACTGTGCGCTGTTGTTGTTGCCGAAGGTGTTCTGCTTTGCGGCTGTGCGGTAGGCCGACGCTGTCTATTGTTCGTTGCTGCATTCACGCTGGGGTCGTGTTCTTAAATGTGGATTAGCACAAGGCCAACACGATCACACAGCGTTGCAATTGAACACAAACACAACCGCAAAAAATATGCATAAAAACTCCAAGTTATTAAGAAAAAAAATTAAGAACCAGCAAGTGCAGTTGACGCAGCCGAAACCGGTTTTAGGTTGCTTTGCATTTTTTCAATCAAATAAATAATTTTTTTTATTGATTGCCTGCTGATTTTTGCGCGCATACTAATCATAATCAATTTAGCATTTTCGCCAAATTTTTACCGCACAAAGTTCGAGCTGTCTCACTTCTAGCCTGGGAATTCACTTTTCGCGCCCGCTTGGTCAGCGTAAATAGTTTCTCTTTCTATGCCGCACAAATTGCAACAACAAAGCCGTCGTACAAAGTCATCTGACCATGTGGTGGCTGCGAATCGGTGCCACACCTCGGCCATGACTGTCAAGCTGGCAAATAACAGTTTGCCGTTTGTTGCCGCAAATTGGTTGACTCGTGCTTTTATGGACTTCTACAAGGAAAGATAACAGCGCAATTCACTTTTAATTGTCGCGCTACTGTGTGTTCGATTTCATGGCCGAACATAACTACAATAACAAGTCGCATTGACTGAAATTTTTACGTCTTAATTTTTTATTTCGTCGTTTTCACCAGACACTTCGTTAGTGAACATGTTTTCGCGGTAGAATATGCAAAAGTTTACTGTTCGAATCCTGAGTATAACCATGTCTTGTGAGAGTTTTGGTGAGATGAAACTGATTCACTACACCACTAAAAAATTACACCAATTCTAAAGATCTTCCGAAAAACTATGCGTTCTCATAACCTTAAGCTACTTCCGGTGCCCAAGTACAAACACAAGTTAAAGCTTCTTGCAGAAAAAATATTTTGAAATTTAGCCAATAAAATTATGCTCGTCACCACAGTGCAGTGAGTAATGATTGCCATTTGCAGACAAACTCCGCGCGCAAAGAATGCCCGCACGCACAGCTGGATCAAATGCACATATCTTTCACAGCAACGCGGAGCGTCTTAATGGACGCTGACAAGCGCGTAAAATCATTTATTTTGCCCCACACCTAGATTTGTTGTTGGCAAAGAGTCAAAGGCAACCTTGTCATAGAATGTTAAGGGTATACAATCTTAAGTCGCACAACTAAATATCGCATAAAAATATTTAATGTTCATAAATGTTTGAAACAAATAAAAATTCACACACATTGTTGCCGAGATGGGAATTAAATTGAAGAACTCAAACAATTCCACGCTCGGCTTGATTTGCAGCTCGTGTTCGAGGTTTTCGCAAAGAAGTTCATGGCTACTAGAATCAGACAACTGTTGCATTAAGCGCTTGCTGTTTAACAGCATGTGGCGTCTGAGTCTACTATATGAGTGAGTATTATGTGTGTTTGAAGAATGAAGAATTTCAGTCTTGACAGTCTGTGTGTATTTAAATTGAATGTCAGCACTGTGTTAACCTCTTGTCAACGCTGGCAGTGATGGATGTCGGGTCACGTGTGCAACGCCGGTACGGCACTTAAATACGCTGGACAAATAGTAAATAGCAATTTTTGTGCTTTATTTGACTTTGCAAGTATTTTTAATATAAGCAACACATTTTTTTATACGAATAGTAATTATGTATAAAGCTCAAAAGAAATATTAACGCTATTTTAGAGATAAAATTTAAGTTTTTAATGCCTTGGCAGCAAGGCAAGGGTGCAGCAACTCAAGTATAGTTGTATATTATATTTATAACGAATCAGTCATCTACTGTTGAGTGTCATCATAGATTGAGTTGAGCGGTAAGAAAAAAACATTTTACGAACTCTATTCCTATGTGTAAGTGCTGTTCAAGTGTATGGGTGGGGTTAGTTTAAGTGCAAATAGTGAGTCAAACTATTACACTTTCAAACATGTTTAAAGTCTTTCTGTAAGTAATTATTTGATAGCGAGTTTTTCTCGACAGTGTGTTTTTGTAGTAGATTTTTTCGAATGCAACTATTTGAATAAAATTAGGTGAAATTTTCACTAAAATTTTCATTTTGTAAAAATGTCTGCCGAAAATCCAATTTTCAGTTCTTTCACTTCGCCAAGTTCTAAGTTAAGGTTTTACCTAATCCTTTTTCCGAGGGGTGTCGCAAGACCGAGTTAAAAGTATATTTCTCCAAACATTTCAAAATTTCTTTGTTAATAGTGTATGTTTGTAACAATAAAAAATTCTGATGAAATATTTAATTTTTTATATGAGAAAAAAAATATTGAAAAAAGGCAATTTTTTACCTGAGGAAACCCGTGTTATCCTTTAAAGGTGCTAAAATATTGCAATATTTGAGACAGCCACTTAAACCCGCAAATTTTGTTGTCAGTTCGAAAGCAAATATTATACATACATGTGCATGTACGCATGGACAAATATACTCATTGCTTAACAGAACAATTTGACAGCATGAAAATAAATATTGATGTAAAATTAAATGACCGATTCCTTCCTTTTATCGTTTTGCAGTTGGTTTTTCTCTTCTTGCCTTGCTTTTAACTGAACTGTACCTAATTCTAAGTGACGAATTTTATTTACTTTTTGACACACTTGTCAAATCGAAAAGTTTTCATATTAGTTTGCTGTAAACAGACCCACTCCACTGACTGGCTGACGGACAATAAAATGTATTTTTCAAGTTGTCGTAAATTTATTTGCGTACGTTCGTTTTGTAGCGACTCAATTGCCAATGCAAAAAAGTGAAAACAAAACAACAAATGTACGGAAGTTGAAGTGAAAAAGTTTTGTCATAAATTCATGAGTCTTTCGTTATTTACATTTTTATGTCGGGCAAATGTTAACAAATGTCAGCTAAACAAGTGAGTAAAACGTAAATATTTTCTCTTTTCAGATGTACTTACAGGACTCTGTTGATTTTGAGCTTTAAACCATGATCTACTCTTGAGTTGGTCATTGTCGATAATAAAGGCAAGCTGAGTTGGTAGTTATTAGCTTAATATTTAATTCATGTGAAATTTTAGGCTACATAAAGAATAAAGATGTAAGAGTTGCACTCATTTCTAATGAGAATACTTAGAATTAATTTGTAATTGATTTTCACAAGTCAGAAGAATTTAGATAGTGTTCGCCATTGCATACTTATGATCAGAACAGGAACAGTATTAGGGAAATATGCAAAAATTAAGGTTCTTTTTATCT